ATTTAGCACGGCCAATCCACCCTAACCTGCACATCCCTGGGCACTACGGGACAATTTAGCACGGCCAATCCACCCTAACCCGCACATCTTTGGACTGTGGGAGGAAACCTGTCCAGATTCAACTCTAAACGGTCATTTCTCCCCCCAGCTTTCCAGCTGATCCCGTATCCTGCTGTTGCCTCTGACAACCTTCCTCACTATCCACAACTCCACCACTTTTCACGTCATCTACCAACTTTGTATCCAACTCACCGTGAATTCCATGCGATTTGAACTTCAGGACCATCCTATCATGAAGAGACCTCATCAAAAGCTTTACTAAAAGTCCATATAGACCACATCGGCTGCCCGATATGCAACGATCTTCATCACTTCCTCAAAAAAAACCTCAAGTCTGTGGGCCACCCCCCCGCCCCACAACACAAGCCAAATCCTTAGCGAGTAAATCCCACCCCTAAGAATCTTCTCCAATAATGCCCCCACCACAAAAGTAAAACTCACTGGCCTACAATTTCCTAGATTATCTTTCTTGAACAAAGGAGAAACAGTGGCTGATCTCCAGTCTTCTGGGACTGCACCTGGGGCTGATCTGTATCAAGGCACCAGGCGTCTGCTCCCCTGCCTCCTTCAGTATCCCGGGATAGACCCCATCAGGCCCCAGGGGCTCACCTACTTTAACACTTCCTCCTTCTCAATATCCATACGCCCTGAGTATCAACAAACCCTTCTCTAAATCTTCCACCATCCACGTCATTCTCCTTAGTGAATACTGATGCAAAGTCCTCATTAAGAACCTCTCCCGTTTCCTCTGGCCCCTCCACATTAATTCCCTCCCTTGTCCTTGAGTGGACCTACCCTTTCCCTAGCTTCCCACTTGCTTAGGTACAAAAAAACGGCTTGGGATCCTCCTTAATCCAACTTGCCAAGGACATTTCATGAACCCTCCTTCTAATTTCTTTTCTGCTTCCTTTATACTCCTCAAGGGTCTTGTTTGGTTTCTGTTCCCTAAACATTACATAAGCTTCCGTTTGCTTTTTGACTGAACTTTTATGACATCGCCCATCAACTGAATCTTGCCATCCTCATCTTCCATCCTCCCAGGAGCATGCTGGTCCTGAACTCTGACCAACTGGCCTTTTAAAAGACCCCCCTAATGTGGATTTACCCCCTCAAACGATTGCCCTCCCCATTCCAGATCCCGCTCCTGCTCTAATACTGTCGCAATTAGCCTTCCTGCTTTCCCCCCTCAGACTAGCCTTATCCCTATCCACAACTATCTTAAAACTTGCGGAATTATGATCACTGTTCCCAAAATACTCCCCCACTGGGCTTATTCCCCAACATAAGCTCCAATACTGGATGGGCTATCTACACATTGTTTCAAGAAATACCTCACAAATTTTGGCCCATCTAAGACTGAGGGAATCCCAGTCAATCTTGGGGAAGTTAAAATCACCCACTCCCAACAAACCCCCTGTTGTTTTTCCCGCTTTCCCTGATCTGCTTGTATATCTGAAACTCTACGCCTCACTGGCCATTGGGAGGCCTACAGCATAAACCCATGGTAGATGACCACACGATTATTATTCCTGAATTTTGCTCTGGATGAGCCGTCCACAGCTTAATCTCCTTAATCAATAATGTGACTCCCCTCCTCCATCCCTTGTACCCCTCTCAGTATCTCGCCTGAAACATTGAAACCCAGGAACTTCGAGCTGCCAGCCCTGCCCTTCTCCCAACCAGTGCTGGCTACAATATGGGAAACCAGTGGACTGATCCAGGCTCTAAGCCCCTCTCTGCTGTATCCCGCAATGTCTGGGAATGCCTCACCTCGACATCACTCACGCTGACTGGCGCAATGGTGCTGGACATGTGGACGTTGGGGGTGGAGGTTGAACGTTGTCGTTGTAGCTGCCCCTCGACAGGCGGGCAGGGGCACGGGAAGGTGAAGGCCGGGGGTGCAAGCCTGCAACAGAGAGAGAGAGCCACGTAACCGAGACCCCAGCAGCACAGCCCAACATGGAGTGGAATGGACGCTCGAACAGCGCATGTACTCTCCGGGCCGACGCCGAGGGAGCGGGCGCTGTCGGAGGGCCGGCGCCGAGGGAGCGGG